GTGGAGGGAAAGTGAGGGAGAAAGGGGAAACAGATTACAAGGATCTACATATAACCTCCTCCCTGGGGGACAGACAACGGAGAAGTGGGTGAAGGGTGACGTCGGATGGTGTAAAATATGACAAAATGATAATGATTTATAAATTATCAAGGGTTCATGTGAGAGAGGGGAGGTGGGGAAGGGAAAAATGAGGAGCTTATACCAAGGGTTTAAGTAGAAAGCAAATGTTTTGAGACTGACAATGGCAACATATGTACAAATGTGCTTGACACAATGGATGGATGGATGGATTGTGATGAGATGATTTTTTTTAAATTGCTTCACCTCTGGGAACATTCCTGCCATGTCAGTTACCAATTCTCTCATCCTCATCTCATTTACTTCCCCCATGACACCTGCTGGTGGAGGCCTGAGGCTTCCAGTCCTCTCCTTGTTCTCCGTTTCCTTCTTTCTTCACTCATTTCCCTAACTAGATCCCCAAATTCATCACTTAAGCCAGTCATTAATATCTTCACCTACTGCTCATTTTTCACGTTTGACAATATCTCAAGCACAGCTTAACCCAGCTCTCACCTGCCATTTTGTCTGTACCTGTGAATGCCACCCCTACAGGCTGTGGCCCTCCAGTGTCCTTTCAGCTGCACACTTAGTGCCCCAGCCACTTACAGCTCTCCGTAACTTCCTGTGACCAAGCTGATAAACATATCTGCAACTATATCCCTCTAACTTTTCTTCTTCCTCTATTATGGAAACGGTTCTTTCCAGCCAATGTGTCTCTGGCCCAGTGCTGAGAATCACGTTCCTCCAGTCTCCTCTGAGATCCTCCTCCCTTTGTGCTAGGTCCATTTTAGCAAATCTCTCCCAACTACTTTTTAAAAATGAGAGCACCAATCAGAATCCCCCTTCAACTACCTCTCATTCACAATCCAGGGTTGCTCTATATACATTGTTCACAATTCCTTCCATTAGTCCTTACTTTAATTGAAATGTATAGAATCACTCTGAGTTGGAATTGGCTTGACATTACTTTGTTGTTTTTATTTGTAACATCCACTACTCCAGTGA